CTAAAATCTCTTAATTTAACTATTGACAAGTCAAATTTAACTTCAAATTCTACTTATCAATTCTTTTCCAAAAATTTCATATAAAAACTCCAAATCTTTAATCTCCCTTAACCCCTTCATTCTTTGATTTTACCGTAACCCAAGCTTTCCTTAAGTTTATCCATCAACTAAAGATCAAAACCAAACTTAAAATTCAAATAATAATCAACTAATAAAACTCTCACCTTTGCCTTGCTCTCCCAAGTATGAAGAAGAAGAAATGAGAAGAGAACTCTGGATGTTTCTCATTTCCCACGTTTATATCACCTTTAAAAGAAAGATAAAAAATCTTTCTGGTCAAATGACCATTTAACCCTTAACTTCTTTTAATAATTACTAAATAACCTTCATCATATATTTCCAATAATCATTAAATTATTTCATTCTTATACGTTAATCACCAAATTCTGAAACTTTTCAATTTAGTCACTAACCCGGTATTGCGGATGTTACAACGCATATTAACATATAATGTTCAAATGTGAATTAAATACAAAAACATAACATACCAAACTATAATATATATATATATATATATATATTAAAAATAATGACTAAATTTAAATATATGTAAAATTAAATTTATAAATTAGAAATAAATCAGTGACCTAAATATAAAATGCACAAAAATTAAATATTCTGATATACAATTTATCCTATTCGGTCCAAGCTAAAATAATATGAAAAATTACATAAATAGTGCCTACACATTAAAAAAAATCAGAAAATTAAAACAAACAAAGGACTTCTTTAAAAAATGTGCCTAAATTTTGAGGATCTAAGCATAATTTACCCCAACAAATACGATGACTAAAAGTTAATTTACCCAAAAATTTTGATATAAAACCTAAACTAACACTAAACCTAAGCTAACCTCACCTCTGCCGCTCAACTTCACTCTCAATTTTCACCTCTCTCTTCTCCAAACCCACACAGTCGAGAGCCCTAAAAGCTCTCTCTCAACATCACCAGCAGCCTCATACTTCCCTCTCCACTCTCTCACAACGCCGTTATCGCCTCCTAACAAGACTAAAACACCGACCAATAGAATCGATTTACATATACCATCTACTCCTCTCTAATCTCACTCTTAAATCTAGCTCTAAAGGGCAACACTCACGCCATTTTGCGATCCCTTCTATTCTCCCATCTTCGGCGATGGTTCAACACAAAGATAAAAGATTTTTACTCTCTCTCTCTCTTTCTCTCTCTCTCTCTCTCTTTATTCTATTTCTTTAATTTCTCAAGATCTTACCTCTACTCTTATGAATGATGGATGTGTTCAAGGAACTCACCGATTGGCTCTGAAAGGTAAACACTAAACCCTCTAATTTACCTCTATTTTTCATTTTAAAATCCTGAAAGATGAGAACTAATTCAAATAATCTACATGCAAGGATTTCTGAATAATTCTCAATGCTTCGATGTTAATCCCGGTGACTCAAATCGGTAAGCTTCTAACTCTTATTTTCTTTCAAAGCACATACCACACAAACACAAATAGTTACTAGAAAGTAAATAAAATAAGATAAAATACCTCCTTGTTAATGTTATCCGTTTCTGGTTGTTAAAAATATTATTTCACTTTTGTGAATGATTAATGCTTTCCTTCGAATGGAACCGGGAAATCAGGAAAAAAATTTGTTTCCTTTTATTGCTTTGAAAATGGTAAACCAAAAAATCTTTACAAATTGTTTTTTCTCTCCTTTTTCGTTCTGTGTGTGTTCTCCTTTTTCTTTTCATTTCCAGTGGTTATTCCCTCTTTTCTGATTGATAGTGGTTAATCCTTAAAAACCGACCCTCACTCCACTTACAGTTTTTGTTAAATCCCGATAACCAGTTTTTGGTTTTCCAGGGAGTACTCATGTGGGTTGGAAGCTGTTCTGCTTCATTGGGCTTGAGTTGGGCCTTCAACTGGTTTGGGGCCGGGTTAGGTTGCCATTACTTTGGGTCTGCTCCGACTTAGCCCCGGACAAAGCGAGTATCTACAGCTGCCCGTCTTTACTCATTGTCATGTAACGGGAATAGAGAAAAGATCACAAGATGATCGCGTTTGTCCAGTCATGAGAACTTCAAAAAGATTAAACCACTACACTGTTACTTCGGGATAAATAAGACTTGAAAAATCTTCGAATGACGGGTTCGCTCCCTTTTCCTTCAGGGAGTATAAAACTCGAACTATCTTCAGCAAACATGTCTGCTCCCTATTCGTTCAGGGAGTATAAGAGTCGAACAATTTTCAGCAAACGGGTTCGTTTCCTATTCTTTCAGGGAGTATTAGATTTGAATAATGTTCATAAAATTAGTCTGCTTCACTATTCTTCTGTGAAGGCTTATAGATGATTTGCTTCACTACTCTTTCGTGAAGGCTTAAGATTGAATTGCTTCACTGCTCTTTCGTGAAGGCTTAAGATTGACTTGTTTCGAAGGTCAAACCTGAAAATCAAACATTACCAATCATTAATGTAGGTTTGAAAAATATTATACTCAAATATTTAGAATTTGAGAAAATTTCTGAAAATCCATCTCCATCGTGAAGACTTGTCTGGAAGCCATTGGATATATGAATCTACTTTGGCTCATTTATCGTCTAAACATTATTCTTTTCAATATTTCAAAACTAGTTATCCTCATCTTGATGTTTCCATATCTTCAATCTTCAACTATCCCTGGGAAACCTGTAGATATTTAAGTCATCATGCAATTATGAATGCTAGGATCCTATTCATGCCTAAAATGTATGCAATTATGCAATTTAATGCATTTTCTTCTTTGAAGGAACACCATCTCTTTTGATCTCGATGGAACTCGGTTTCGTCTTGGGCACAGAACATTTGACCAGTTCACCCCAGTTAACATTCTCAATACCATATCGTTCGGCTTAACAGGACTTTGACTTCTTTCTTTCTTGAAACCCGTCAGTACCCATGACCAACTTCTTGATAAACGATAATACCTTAGGGTCATCTTTTAATGACTGAGATTTTCTATGAATTCCAAGGTTTTAACTTCTCGTAACCATACAAGCTTGCATGTTTAAACCATTGTCAGCTTCAAAATACCTGCATTTTCCAAAACCTTTTGCACAATAATAAAATGATCTCATGTACTTCAAGTTAAGCTATATATTTTAACCTTTCAAAATAAGACGCTTACAAAAGGGAAATTAACAAGAAAATACATCTCTTTATTTATATAAATGTAGAGAATTTTTAGGTAACTACATGGCAAACTTTTAACTGTAAACAGTAAAAGAACAAAAGAGTAGGCGTCTTCAAATATCAATAATGTAAATGCTTTTTAACTGGCATGCCGTTAGAATGACTCGAGTGTAGCTTCTGTCAAAAGGATCTCCAAAATTGTAATGATGCTTAAGAGTGTGAAGCTCTTTCTGAACTCCCAAAATCTCTCATTATTGGATGCCCTAAACCAGTATTGAATATCGTATGCATTCAATTTCTCTCCTGATTGTTTCCATCGAGACTCATTAATATTTGGTCTCAACCCTAATCACCAATTATCATTGTTACTACCCATATCAGGAGTTTTTCCCCTTCAAAAATCAATTCAAAACCTCCACCATTCACGAATTCTAAATTTAAACAAAACTCAAGTCGCCCTTTACGGGTTTTCAACTTGATACCTCCTTTTTATTTTCTTTTTCTTTTTCTTTTTTTTCTTTTCTTTTTCATTTTTTCATTTCTTATTTGTTTTCCCTTTTTCATTTTTCCCCTTTTTCATTTTTCTCTTTTTCATTTTTCTCTTTTTCATTTTTCTCTTTTCTTTTTTCTTTTTTCATTCTTATTCAAGTAAAATATCTCTTAACTGTATCGGAATTCACTGGATAGGGTAATTCTGATCCGTCCATTTCAATAGGCTTTCTTGACAACATAAGGTCCTTCCCAGTTGGGCATCCATTTTCCTCGGAAATCCTTCTGAATAGACAAAATCCTTCTAAGCACCAAATATCCTTCATGGAATTCTTGAAGGTGAACTTTCTTATCATGTGCTCGTATCATACCTTTCTGGTACATCTGACCATGACAAATAGCTTTCAATCTATTTTCCTCAATCAGATTCAACTGGTCATACCTAGCTTGTACCTATTCTGCCTCATTTAGCTTCACCTCTGAAAAAATCTGAAGTGAGGAAATTTCCACCTTAATAGGTAGGACAGCTTCCATCCCATATACTAGAGAAAATGGAGTTGCCCCAGTTGACGTCCGTACTAAAGTTTAATAAGCAAAAAAAGCAAATGGTAATTTCTCATGCCAGTCCTTATAGGTCTCGGTCATCTTCTCTATGAGCCTTTTGATGTTCTTATTAGCTGCCTCTACTTCCCCATTCATCTTTGGGCGATAAGTGGTGGAATTATGATGTTTTATTTTTAAATTGCTTACAAACCGAGTCCATCATGTTATTGTTTAAATTTAATGCATTGTCGGAGATAATCCTCTCTGGTAAACCATATCTACAAATGATCTCATTCTTTAAGAATTTCCATATTGTCGACCGGGTAACATTTGCATGGGAAGTTTCTTCTACTCACTTGGTGAAGTAATCTATGGCTGCCAGAATGAAGCGATGACCATTTGAAGCCTTGGGTGAAATTTGTCCAATAACATCCATGCCCTACATTGAAAATGGCCACGGAGCTGTCATTAAATGTAACGGATGAAGAGGAGTATATATCTTATCTCTATAAATCTGACATTTGTGACATTTTCGGGCATAGCAAATATAGTTACTTTCCATAGTTGACCAATAATACCCAAATCTCATAATCTTTCTAGCCTTTACATGCCCATTAGCATGGGTACCACATATTCCTTCATAAAGAATTGTCTTGACCTCTTTCGTGTCAACACACTTTAACAAGATCTGATCCATGCTTTTCTTGTACAGAGTCTCACCATCAAGCACATACCTTGATATCATTCTTCTAATGGTTCTCATATCATTCTAAGTGGTATGTTCCATATAACTCTGATATCCTATATATTGCAAGATATCATAATACCAGGGGTTTTCATCTTCTTCTTCTTCAATATTAAAACAATGGGTTGGATACTCATAAGCCTTTATTTCAATAGGCATCATATTTGAATATTTATTCATCTTAAATGTTGCTACCAGTGTGGCCAAGGCATCTGCCATTTGATTCTCTTCCCTGGGGAGGTAATTGAAAGTTACTTCTTTAAATTCTTCAGCAAGTTCCATAACCAACTTATGGTATTCTACAAGCTTGGGATCTTTTGTCTCCCATTCTCCTCTGAGTTGGTAGATTACCAAAGCTGAATCCCCATATACCTTGAGCATTTTTACTTTGCGTTCAACAGCAGCTCTAAGACCTAAAACACAAGCTTCATATTCAACCATATTGTTTGTACAATCAAAATTAAGCCGACTGGTGAAAAGATAATGCTCTCCCTCTGGTGAGACCAAAATTGCCCCAATTATGTGTCCAATAGCATTTGAAGTACCATCGAAGTTCAACTTCCAATATTTACTAGTGGATGTAACTTCTTCTTCCACTGAAATAGCCATTAAATCCTCATCTGGGAAATCAAAGCTCAACGGCTCATATTCTTCCAAGCCTTACTTGCATTGAATTTCGGTATAGCATTTCCTTTAACTATTGTCTAGTTTACATATTGGATGTCAAATTCGGATAATAGGATTTGCCAACGAGATAATCTTCCAAATAATGCAGGCACACCCATTAGATACTTCAAAGGATCAAGCTTGGATATAAGCCAAGTGGTATGATACAACATATATTGCCTAAGCCTTCGGGTATCCCATACTAAAGTGCAACACAACTTTTTAATTGGTGAGTATCTAGTCTCACATTCAGTGAACTTTTTGCTGAGATAATAGATAGCCCTCTCTTTCTTCTCAGTTTGGTCACGTTGTCTCAGTGCACACCCCTTTGAATTTTCATAAACTGACAAATAAAGGATCAAAGGTTTGCCTGAGATGGGTGGCACTAAGATTGGAGTACTCGACAAATATCTCTTCACTGCTTAAAAAGCTTTTTGACAATCCTCACTCCATTCCCCTGAGTTATTCTTGCGAAGAAGACTGAATATGGGATCACATTTTTCAGTCAACTGTGAAATAAACCGAGCTATATAATTCAATCTTCCCAAAAATCCTCTAACCTATTTATGTGTTCTTGGGGATGAAAAATTCTGAATGGCTTTTACTTTATCTGGATCTATTTCAATTCCCTTTTGGCTTACTATGAATCCCAAAAGTTTCCCATATGTCAACCCAAAAATACATTTATTTGGGTTGAGTTTTAGCTGGCATCTTCTTAGTCTTTTAAAGAGCTTTCCTAAATTCCCAATATTTTCTTCCTCTGTCTTGGCTTTGACAATCATATCATCGACATAAACTTGTATTTCTTTATGCATCATGTCGTTAAATAACGTCACCGTGACCCTTGATATGTTACCCCTGCATTTTTCAATCCAAACGGCATTACTTTATAACAAAACGTTCCCCATATAGTAACAAATGTCATTTTTTCATATCTTCAGGGTTCATCTTAATTTGATTATAGCCAGAGAAACCATCCATAAATTAGAACAAAGAATTTCTAGCAGTATTATCCACTAAAGTATCTATATGTGGCAAAGGAAAATTATCCTTTGGACTAGCTCTATTGAGATCTCTGTAGTCGACACACATTAGAACTTTCCCACCCTTCTTTGGTACTAGGACGATATTCGCCACCCACTCAGGATATTTAGCCACCTTAAGAAACCCAGCATCAAATTGTTTCTTCACTTCTTATTTAATCTTGAGTAATATCTCAGGTCTTATTATTCTCAATTTTTGTTGTATAATTATACACTCAGGCTTTATTGGCAGTTTGTGGAAAACCAATTCTATATCTAAACCTGACATATCTTCGTACGACCACGCAAACACATCCTTGTATTCCCGAAGCAATTCTATCAAGTCTTATCGCTCTCCAATAGACAGAGTAGTTCCAATCTTTACTTCTCTCTTATCCTCATATGTTCCCAAATTCAAAATCTCAGTAAGCTCTTTATGAGGTAGAATCTGCTTATCTTTATTCTCCACCATTTTTAGCAATTCAGAAGGTAGTTCACATCCCTCATCGTCATTACAATCTTCGATTTCCCCTTGACATATAGGCTTCTCGAAATCAATCTCCGGGTCAGGGTTATTAGCATTCATATTATTGATATCTGAGCTCCTGAAAAAAATAATGAAAGAGAAGATAAATATATACATATGGGAGGAATTTTCCCATATAAATAAATAGAAAGAAATAATACATACATATATACAACAAAGAATAAAAGAAATGCATGGGAGAATGCTTGCCATTCTGAACTAACAGAATGCATCTTTTATTGAAAGCAAGTAAAAATAAACAACTTAACCCTTTACATAAAATCACCTATTGCCCCAGGGTACGAACAATAGGGGAAATTTCTAGTGCATTACTCTGTAAAAGACTTGTAAACTACAGGAAGTTCTTCCGCAGTCCAATTGTTCAACACGAAGCCCGGCGGTACAGGTAAATGCTCGTAGCTCTCATTTCTCCAAACTCATCATCAGTTATAACATATTCCCTCCTGATATGAAAGTGCTGCTCAATGGTGGGAAGGTCATGGGTTCCCAGCTAAGGTCTTCACCAACCAACCTGGCCTTTCTCATTTCCTGACCCTTTTTAATTCCCCTCAGCTTCTCCCTCAAAGTTGGATAATACCCCAAACCAAATCGATCTCTTTTAGTAACAGGGCAGATTGGATTCACTTATCCGTGTAACTGACTTCCTAACCCTTTTCCAACTTTGTCTCCTCTTCCAAGAGTCAGTTTAAGCCCCCATCTTGGTACAATTTGACAATCTAGGCTTTGGTATATTTTTACCTTCAGCTACAAATGTAGCATTGACAAATTCTAACAATCTGAAACAACATTCAATAGCTTGCTCATCCACTTTAATGTTTGGAGCAGTAGTAGAAACAGAAGCAATGATGTCCTCTTCAGTGTAAATACATACCAACCTTTCATCAATTACAAATTTTAGTCTCTGGTGCAATGTTGATGAAACTGCACCGGCCTGATGAATCCAAGGCCTTCCCAACAAGATATTGTACGTAGGCATAATGTCCATCACGAGAAATTCCACTTCATAAGTTGTTGGACCAATGGTTAGAGGAACATCAATCTTGCCTACCACTTCTCTTTTAGTCTCATCAAAAGCTCGAACACACTCTGAAAGCTTTTCATAAGTGTACTATCAAATGGTGGCTTCTTCAGAGTTACCAAGGGAATCACATTCAAAGTTGAACCATTATCAACCAATACTCTGAACAGTACATGCCCTTTACACTTAACTGTGATATGCAAAGCCTTATGACTACCAACCATCCCAGAAAGGATCTCATCTTCAGAAAAATATAGAAAATTATCAGCTTGTATGTTGGCAACTAATCGGTCCAACTTTTCTATGGGCAACTCCTTTGGAACAAAGGTCTGGTTCAACACTTTTAATAAAGCATTTCTATGGGCCTCTGAACTCAGAAGAAATGATAAGACAAAAATATGGGTAGGCAACTTGTGCAATTATTCAACAACGTTGTACTCACTTTGTTTCAAGAACTTCAAAAACTATACTGCTTCACTCTCAGTTACAAGTTCATTGATGACATGCTCATCTTCTTTTATCTACACATCAACCTTTTCCCCTTATCAATAGCAGTCTTCTTATCAGACTCTTTAGGTGGATTAAGAGAATAACACCTATCAGTTCTGGTAAATGTCTCACCTCATCTATTTCCCCACCTTCTTTTGTTACCTCTCCCATATGTCAATAATATCTCCAAGGCACTTGCTTACTATCTCAATATGGGAATGGAGATGGAGGTGTAATAACCACTTTTGGAGCTAACTTTTTAGTCACTCGATTGTTGGGAATAATGATTAGGGGACAACTAGCATTGTAAACCCCTTTAGACGATCATTCTAAAGTGTAAACTTCTGTTTCCTCTTCTTCAGTGATCTCTTTAAAGAAATCAATTTCTTTAATGTTCATCATGTTTGTACCAAAGATAGGAAATTAAGACATCATTGAATATTGTGTCCTTCACTGTTATGATACTGACATACCTCTTCACTGTTAAACTGTTCACATATCAGACTGGGCTTCAACAATCCTACCTTAACCATTTGGCACCACACCCAATACATGGGTGATACCACCTCATTAACCTTCCTTATAATTCTCATTTCTTTCTCTTCAGTAACTACATTAACCCTTGTCCCTGTATGGTTCGACAATAGATTCTGAGCTATATTCGGTTGTTTTCTATCACCAAAGTTGATGACATTCCTTATTCTCAAAGCTTGGATGACCTTTTTAAATGCAGTACATTTTTTTATAGAATATCTAGGATTCCCCACATGATACTCACATTGAAAACTAGCATCATACCATTTTGGAAAGGAGGTTGCATTGGTGTCACATGATACGGTGAAACTACATATCGGTCATATAATATCTTAAATAATTCTTTATAATTCATCGGGATAGGGTCGAACTAAGGCCTTTCTCTCCTCTAGTCCCTTGCCCCTTGTTTATTGTCATTTTTTGTAAATGACCATGTTCCTTGAGGTCGGGACATGATGATGTTATTAGAATCATATTGCCTCACGTTACAAACTTCATTTTCCTTTTTCCTCACCGGTGGCCTCTTATTAGATTCCCCTCCCTCGAGCTTTCCACTCTTAACCGCCATTTCAATCATTTCTCCTGCCATAACCATATCAGCAAAACTTTGATAAGGATTACCTATAAGGTGCGTGAAAAAAGGAGCCCTTAAAGTATTGACGAACAACATATTTGTTTCCTCCTATTCCAGTGGTGGATAGACTTGCACAGCCATATCCCTCCAGCTTTGAGCGTATTATCTAAAACTCTCATTAGATTTCTTCTCCATACCTTGCAACATCATCCTGTTAGGCCTAACATCCTTCACATGTTTATACTACTCGAGAAAGGATTTAGCCAGTTCTTTTCACGACCAAAAATTAACTCTACTCAGTTGATTATATCATCAGATTGCTAAACCCGTTAAGCTTTCCTGGAAGTAGTGTATCAATAACTCATCATCCCCTACGTACCTAGTCATCTTCCTACAAAACATCGTAATATAGGTATAGAGACACCTAGTACCGTCAAATTTCTCAAATTCAGGAATCTTGAACTTCGGGAGGCAAGAACAAACTAGGAACTAAACTTAATTCCTTGGTGTCGAATCCATACACACTGGTATCTTCTTTCATAGCTCTGACTTCTCTTTCTAATTATTTCTATTTCTATTCCATTGGATTGTTTTGGTATTTATTGGCTTCTTCATCAAGGTCTGGAACCTGGTGATATTGATGTTCCTCATTGTGTGAACTAGACCCAGGATATAAGTTCACAGAAGCACCAGCTAGATTGATGTGTACTTTCCCAGTATGAACAGGCGTCTGAGATTATGCTGGGGTAAACCCTGGAGGATAAAGTGGTTCATCAGTTATATCTCTTGGCACATGGCTCTTTCCATGTTCAGGCTTTCTTCCTTCCAACAGACTTGCAAACTTAGCAAACATTCCTTTTGAGCATTCATCATGTCTTCTTGCATTTTCTTTATATTCCCTTGCAACTCCAGCTGATTTTTCTCAATTTGAGCAATTTTCTCATCCATGACCTTCTTCCGAGTACTATAGGGATGCTTGGAAGTTCCCAGTATTCCTCTTCCACACAGTTCTTTTGTTAATGTTGATGTTTTATTAATGAATATGAAATATATGATTATGAATAAAAAAATGCAGTGCAAAAAATTAAATTTAAATGCATTGCAAAAAATAAAAATGCATATGCAAAAGAAGGGTGTTGATCCTGGAACGACTCCTTAGAACAACTCTTTATATTAGAAACGACGTTCAATTACAAGGTTGAAATATATCACAAATAAATCTGCACTATCTCTCCTATTTGTTGTACATGTGCTAGCAAATCCACAATCTTCTGATTTTCTTCAGCCTCGGGATCCAGTTCTTCACTTAGAGCAGTAACTTCCTCAGATAGATTAACCAAATGTTGATTTATTCCCCGCACATGTCCTAGGTAACAAGCAATAAGATCCTCTCTTTGCTTTACGCTCGCCTGGGCTTGCTCCCACCGAAAACGCCACTGTATAACCCCCTCGTATGGAACTATCAGAAGCTCACTTGCTCGCCTCTGAAAATCCTAAACCATGGCCTCAAGTTGACTCACTTGTTTATTCAGACTCACTTGTTTCTTCAGACTCTCAACCTCCCCACGGCTCGAGCTACCTTCCCTGGTTCGGTATCATCGTAATGTAGCCTCTAAACTCAAAATCTTCCCCTTCAACTTCTCATTCTAAGCTTGACTCTCTTGCAATCGATGCTCTAAAGAACTCTTTTCTTTTGATAAAATCTTAATTTGGTGTCTGATTTGCTTGAGCTATTCTTGACTCTCTCCAGATACTCTCTTTAAACTCGTCACTTCTTGTCTCAATTCGACAGAGGAGTTACTCTAACTAAAATTTGTCTGATCTTTTACCATTCATTGATAAGATAACTGAAGATCATCAAATTCTAGCCGAAGTTGCTTCTCTACCTTTTCAATTCGATCTGTTCTACCCTTCTGAATATCAATCTCCAATCATTTTTATACACATCATCCTCTAATTTCTGCAAAGTCATTCTCCATTGTTTCCTTTCTGCCTTGAAATCGCGCTTAGCTAGATCTAATGGAGAGGGCACCATTCTCAAATGTTCTTCCATAAGCTAAATGTTTTCAGGATTCATCATTGGGATTTTGTCATTTACTCGAATGCTTCTCCACTGCTCATACTCCTAAGATAACTCGAGATCATAGGTGAACAGATTTACACGACGAGTATGTTTACAGGTCTCAGTAACCCCCTTGACTTTACTCATATATTGTTCTCCTTTGAATGCAAAATCTGACCCTACCAAGTACCATGTGGCTGGAATGAACTGCCTTGACCCATACTATCTGGAAACTAGCATCGATGCATACCTGATAGAACCCCATATACTTAGCAAAGGAACCCAATCTCGCTCTCTACATCCGTACAGTATATCCAAAGAGACATTCCATGAAGCTCGCCACAAAATATCACCATCCCTGATATCCTTGAATATGACCATCTATTTTTCTTCGGTGAAGCCCTCAGGTCATTATTTAGAAAGAAAATCCTTCAAAGGTGAAAATCCGTCCAAAAACACTCGTCCTGGTGCCCTTTCAACGTGCTTAAAATGACTAAGAATCCACACTAGCAGTAGAGGTGCACACCCTATAAAGCATCCTTCTCTTTCTCACCTACAAGAACTCAAAGAATGGAACGTCTTGGCTAGAATGTCTAGAACAGGATCCACATGCTTATCTAATCTTTCGATCAGGTCAACACCTGATACGTCTACATATTCCATCACCTTCAGAAAAATAACGAACACATAAATCCCTAGAGCAAACAGGTCAAGCTTCTTCCTCTTGTTAGGGTGACGATCAGTCACTTCTTTCAAAGCAGCCCAAGAGATGCACTCACTGTCTCCTTTCTTCTTAATGTTTCTGACAACCCAATCTTGTCTCATTCCAATCATCAATAGCAATTTCTTCTTAAATGAAGGAGGGAATGGCAACTTGGTATATATTCTATCCATTTGAGACCTCGGAAAACGGGTCAAAGCTTGATACTCCTCTATTGTTGGTGTCAGATCCACTCTACCAAATGTAAAACAGCTATAAGCGGGATTCCAGAACTGTGTCAGTGCTCTAAACATATTCTGGTCAATAGGAACATCCAGAAGATAAGGAATATCACCATACAACTGATAACCCGTACCACTTTTAGCTCACTCAGATCATTCTGACGTATATTGATGTGAGTGTAACCAATCAACTCCGACATGTATCCGGGCATCACACTATCTCTGTTGGTCAGCTGGGACTGTTTCGACCACCTCACAACATCTATATTGTCTTCAACCTCTTTATGAACCTTTCGTTCCATATTACTAGCCTTCTATATAGACATCGATCCAAAATCAACACCATGAAATAGATAGTGCAATGCAAAACAAAAAAAATAAAGCAAAGACAACATAAAAGCATCAATAAAAGTAATTAATCAGGGATAATAATTTGTTCAAGAATCCTACCCACACATGTTGGCTACCCAATCATGCTTTATCAGATCCTACCCAACATGATATCTACCTCCATGCTTTGTTTGAACATAAAAACCCTAACCACGTGATATCTAATTCGTATGCTTATTCGAAAAATAAACCTAACCGCATGATATCTAGTTCGCATGCTTATTCGAAAAATGAAAATAAATTACTCAAAAAGCTTTTCCTTGTGTACCCTCCTTATGGGACTCTTAAGGTTCGGGTTAGGCTCAATCTAAATTCGGGCTCTATGTTCACTATATGATGGGTTTGGTTCTAAAGTAATAGGTTCTTGAATTGTCATTGTCGGTTCCCCCTTGGGCTGATGAACTCTCAATCCTGGCCCATCACAGGCTTTAGGGGATCCAGTTCAATTCAAGGGAACACACCTCCTTATGTCCGTGCGGAGGTGAATACCATCACGAGGATCATAAGGCGTGAGCTCCAGGAGCGATCCATTATCCCATGCGGAGGTGAAAACCACATGAGGGCATAGTCTCTCACTCCTACTTAATTTGGACGGAGTGGGGTTTTAGCTCATGTCATGATAATGCAACAGTGCAGTGTGTGGGAAAAGCAAAAAACACACAATAAAAACACTCAAATCAGTTCCCAATTCACACAATTAATCTGAAACCATTAGCAAACATATCAGTACAACTATTTATTGCTTAATCAAATTATAAAAAAAAATATTAAAACCAAATAAGGGATCAAAAACCAAATTAAAATGAATTTATAACTTTCAATTGCAAAGACAATTAATTAATCGACTATCGGCCTGACTCTCTAAAAAAATTCCCAACGGAGTCGCCAAGCTGTCAAAACAATTTTTTCTTTAAAAAGTGAAATTTTAAATTACCACAACATTTTTTAATTATTCCCTTTTGATTAATTAATTAAAAAGCAATGTGATTTGAAAACCTCTATCGTTTCGAAAATTTTGGGATTTCCTTTACGATAAAAAAATACGGTTCGAGGAGTCGCCACCAATCTTTGATTAGGGTGTGATTGGACACCTAAAATGTTGTCATTTAAATAAAAATTAATTTTAATTAAAACAACAAATTGAGGTCTACGTACCAAAAATCGAATTCGGGAGTCGATTACGTGTGGGGAATGATTAGCATTCCCACAACGCCCTAAATCGATACCTAGTCGATTAATTAACGTCTTTGCAATGAAATTTACAAATTGACTTTAATTTGACTTTTGATCCCATAAAACAAAGATGTGAATTTTATAACATTCAAAAGAAACAAAATAGATTAAATTAAAATTACCGAGCCGTTTTAGAAAGATAAAGAATGTTCGATTATTTAAAAATATCAAGACCAGATCTTAGATGAGTTGTAACAATCTTTTCTCAAAAAATTTAATAACCAAACATTTCCTTTTCTTTCGTTCCCAAATTTTAAGTAACGAATCAATTTTTTAGATTTCACTTTCGGGATACATTTTTAATTTAAAATCGTCAAAACGGCCCTCTAATGAGTTAAACAAGCCACTCAAGACAATTTTAAATTAAAAGGGTATTACCCTTAGTCTGATTATGTATTTATAAGTCAAGTTATGCACATGAGGGTATCATACAAATTGTGTAAAAAGGATGTCATGCCAAAAATTAATTAAACAAGTATTATGATTAAAAATATCATGCAACGTGACATACAAAAATTATATACATATGTTTTAATTAAAAATTATAAACCATGCATATTAACATATAATGTACAAATGTGACTTAAATACAAAAACATAACATGCCAAACTATATATATATATATATATATTAAAAATAATGACTAAATTTAAATATATGTAAAATTAAATTTATAAATCAGAAATAAATCAATGACCTAAATATAAAATGTGCATAAATTACAGAGTCTGATATACAATTTATCCTATTCGTTCCAAGCTAAAATAATATGAAAAATACATAAATAGTGCCTACACATTCGAAAAAAATCAAAAAAATCAAAACAAACAAAGGACTTGTTTAAAAAAATACACCTAAATTTTGAGGATCTAAGCATAATTAAACCCAACAAATACGATGACTAAAAGTTAATTTACCCAGAAATTTTGATATAAAACCTAAACTAACACTAAACCTGAGCTAACCTCACCTCTGCCGCTCAGCTTCACTCTCCATCTTCTACTCTCTCTTCTCCAAACCCACACAGTTGAGAGCCCTAAAAGCTCTCTCTAAACATCATCGGCAGCCTCACACTTCCCTCTCCACTCTCTCACAGCGCTGTTATCGCCTCCTAACAAGACTAAAAAATTGATCAATCGAATCGATTTACAAACCCCCTCTTCTCTTCTCTAATCTCACTCTTAAATCTCGCTCTAAATGGCAACACTCACGCCGTTCTGCGATCCCTTCTCTGGTCCCATCTCCGGCAATGGTTCAACACAAATATAAAAGATTTTCACACTCTCTCTTTATTCTATTTCTTTAATTTCTCAAGACCTCATCTCTACTCTTACGAATGATGGATGTGTTCAAGGAACTCACGATTGGCTCCGAAAGGTAAACACCCTCTAATTTACCTTTATTTTTCATTTTAAAATCCCGAAAGATGAGAACTAATTCAAATAATCTACATGCAAGGCTTTCCGAATAATTCTCAATGCTTCGGTGTTAATCCTGGTGACTCAAATCGGTAAGCTTCTAACACTTATTTTCTTTCAAAACACATACCACACACACACAAATAGTTGCTAGAAAGTAAATAAAATAAGATAAAATACCTCCTGGTAATGTTATCTATTTCTAGTTGTTGAAAATATTATTGCCCTTTTATGAATGATTAATGCTTTCCTTCGAATAGAACCGGGAAATCAGGAAAAAAAATTGTTTCCTTTTATTGCTAAGAAAATGGTAAACCAGAAAATCTTTACAAATTGTTTTTTCTCTCCTTTTTCGTTCTGTGTGTGTTCTCATTTTTCTTTTCGTTTCTAGTGGTTAATCCCCTCTTTTCTGATTGATAGTGGTTAATCCTTAAAAACGAACCCTCACTCCACTTACAATTTTTGTTAACTCCCGATAACCATTTTTTGGTTTTCCAGGGAGTATTCACATGGTCTGGAAGCTTTTCTGCTGGGTCATTGGGTTTGAGTTGGGTCTTCAACTGGTTTGGGGTTGGGTTAGGTTACCATTACTTCGGGTCTGCTCCGAATTAGCCCCGGACAAATCGAGTATCTACAAATTAGATTTAAATTGTTAGAATTATTTGAGTCAATTTAAATTCATATTTGATTCAATTTACTCCTTGAAGAGGTATAAGCATCCAGCCGGCTTGCATTCTTCACCAAGTTCCACATTTGTCATAGGGTTTTTTTTTAAGTTTATAAATTTAAAATTAATAAAATTTTAAATATGATTTAAATTGACTCAAATAATTCTAATAATTTAAATCTAACTATAATTTTTAAAAAAAAGTACTTGCGTTAGTGGTGGTTTTATTGTCTACAAAATACCTTAAATAATGTTATTAGCATAACATTAATAACCAAGTGATTTGGCCTAGTGGTTAGGCTTCAAGCCTTTCATCATCTACTATGACATGGACATGCCACGACAACATCTCCCTCCACATGTTCTTGCTGAGTCAGCTTCAGGCGTTGACCGTCAGTTGGCTAACGATTTTCATCCAACGAGGGTGTTTATTGACCCAAAATGAAACGTGTGGAGGTCAAATGTTCCAAAAAAAACAATATGGTCAAAATTGCATATATTCAAACGTTAGGGGTATTTGTTTGTATTATGTTAATTTAGGGTTGTCCCTAAACTGTTTAAATATTCAAAATTTATCTAAATTTTTTAAAAACTTAAAATTTGGTCCTCAAATAAATAAACAAATTTAAATTAACATAAAATAAAAATTAGGGGTGTTACACCATCACGTCGCTAATGATTTAACGCCTCAATGACCAAATAGAACTCAAAACTAAAATTTAATACTAAATTAAAAGAAGATTAAATTCAGTACTAAAAATGACAGACAATTTAAAGTTGAATGATATTCATTATAACTTATCCTAAAATATTAGTACGATGGTTCACTTACTAGTTAAGAGTGAGAAGACAAGAGGCGAGGTTATCCGTTTCGTCCAAGTGGTCTTAAGGGAAAAGATGGAACCACCATTGTTGAACATGAAGTCGTAAAGTTACTTACCAAACAAATTAAAACTTAATAAAAGCAGGGCTCAACATAACACGTTACGCCACCCTAATGATGATATACTTTATACATGTGCATCTAAATATCTAATCCGTTTTAATATTTACAATATCAATTCATATAGTAATATACCAACTAATTATTTCTTAAAAAAATACTCCAAATAATTTTATTTTTCTAGATTTCAAAACACAACTTTTTTCACACGATGGTTTGGTTTTCACCTATATTTAGGCTTATTATTCTTCTTTACATATAAATGAATACAATTTTTTAGATAACACATTAGAGAGAATATTCAAACGAGATGATGGAAAATTTATTTTTTTAATTAGGGTATTTTTTACAATGTTTGTAGGAAGACGTTGGGAGTACCTAACGATCTCTAGAAGATGGTCGGATGACTCATCAACTTTTGAACGGCACAACTCATTGAACTATATGTAAAATAGGAAAGATGTTGTGTCTTCCATTTGTCTTCCCCAAAGTCGTCAAGTGCTCTCCATGTCTTCCCAAATATAGCATCTAGAAAGTCGAAAAATCAAGTCTCCAACACTATCACCACTACCCTCAAGCTCGCCATCTTCGAGGCCCATGCTCATAGCATCATCGATTCTTCACAAGGCCCAACTAGAACTGATATGGTATACTGACCAATGGCACGACGATATCCTCTGCTCCCTTGACCGTGAGGGAGTCATCGATTGAAACCACTTTATGCAGAGCAAGTCAACGGTTGACAGAAGTCAGACATTGCTTCAAGATAAACCAATCACGTCGTCAGGTTGCGATATTGGTGGGATTTAGATTGGGAGTTAGGATTAGAGTTAAGGTTGAAAATCATGGTTGAAAATTAAATATTTTAATTTTTTTGGCATTTAATGTTAATAAATTTATCATGTCATAATAATAATAATAATAATAATAATAATATTTAAGAGTGATCAAAACAGGAGAAATTCAAAAGTTTAGTGATTAAATAAAAAAAATTAAACTTCAATAGCTGAAATATGAGTAAGAAAATAGTTTAGTGGTGTATGATATATTTTATCGTAAAATAAAATATTTAACAGAAACTAAAGTTAAATAGCATTTTGATAGAAAAAAGACTTTGAAGTATGAATTTGAAATAATATGCGTAACTGGAGTACCAAATGCAAATTTAATAGAATTGGAAAACCCATTCTACTTCCAAAAAATTCCCAATCCTTTGCTTGATTCTCAAAACCATCTCTCTCACCATCATTAAACCTCAAAAACCCTAATTATTCTATACATAAATACAAAGCTTTTGGAGATAGATACATCATATGCGAAAGATGGGTTCATCTTCGTCGGAGACAAAGTTCCTGCAAGAACTAATTTTATACGCCGCCAGCGCCGCCCTCAGTTGCTTGGTTCTCTTCGCGGGGCTCCGACACCTCGACCCGAACCGAGAAGCTTCTAAAAAGGCACAGAAGCACAAGAAGGAAATTGCCAAACGATTGGGTCGTCCTCTAATTCATACCAATCCATATGAGGTATTTTTATTTTGGATTTGAAACAAAAACAAGCCTTCTTTTTGTTCTTCTTATAAATATATATTGCTTTAAAAAGTCAAAGCTTATTGCGTTCAATTTCTAATTTTTTTCTGTAAGATAGATTAGTTTCCCTAGTGTTCTGTTGATTGTTGGAATGTTTGTTTTAAAATAATGTGTTGGAAATAGAAGCAAATGATCACTTATTTCATTTTAACAGGATGTAATAGCTTGTGATGTGATAAACCCTGATCACATTGATGTCGAATTCGAATCCATTGGAGGATTGGAAGCTATCAAGCAGGCTCTTTATGAACTAGTGATTCTTCCATTGAGGAGACCAGAGCTGTTTTCGCATGGAAAGCTTCTTGGTCCTCAAAAAGGGTTTTATTGTATGGACCCCCAGGTACTGGAAAGACCATGCTTGCTAAAGCCATTGCAAAGGAGTCCGGCGCTGTTTTTATTAATGTTAGAATATCAAATCTGATGAGCAAGTGGTTTGGTGATGCGCAAAAACTCGGTATGCATTATAACATTTTGTAGTTCTTTGACTATACCGGAATGTATATGGTTGTACAGGATTACAATTGTACTGCAATCTGTTTTCCCTGTTTTTCTCCTTTAGAGTTAAATTCTAGTAGAAAAACCAGAAGAGATGTTATGCAGTCGAAAAGAACCTTTTTAAGAGAAGGTTTACTGATTTGACCATCCTAAGGTCATGCTAAAATGTTTTTGTACTCTCTCTTTTGGCTGTGGCCCGAAAATGGTTTTGTGATCACAACTACATTCTATGCTTTTTCTAATGGCTGTAATACCCCATGCAAGTTTGTTTGTTTTATAATTCTCAGATTGAATTGTTTATTTGCTCTTGTATATTTGCAGTGGCTGCTGTATTTAGCTTGGCTTATAAACTCCAGCCTGCTATTATATTTATTGATGAGGTCGACAGTTTCTTGGGACAGCGGCGTAATACAGATCATGAAGCAATGACAAACATGAAGACTGAGTTTATGGCTTTATGGGATGGATTTACCACTGATCGTGAGTATTTTTATATCCAAAGGCTGTTATATAATGCTATCAATTCTCCTACAGAGTACTATATTCTATTTGGTTTTTGATGAAGGGCTCCCTGAAGAATGTTCTAGGTACTGTTATTAAATTTAAATTTTAATGATTATATAATGTTATGCAGAGAATGCACGAGTTATGGTTCTTGCTGCAACAAATCGCCCATCAGAACTAGATGAAGCGATACTCAGACGTCTCCCTCAGGCTTTCGAGATTGGATTACCTGAACGCAAGGAGAGGGCTGAGATTTTAAAGGTAATTTTAAAGGGTGAGAGAGTTGAACCAAATATCGACTTCGATTACATAGCCAGTTTGTGTGAAGGTTATACAGGTTCGGATCTTCTTGAACTCTGCAAGAAAGCAGCCTACTTTCCTATCAGGGACTTACTAGATGAGGAGAAGAAAGGAAAACCATCTGGTGTAAGTATATTTTGTGTATATATGTATGCATTATCTCACACTTCTTAAAATTCTGTTGTGCGACGAGGGACTGTATCTTAAAATTTTGTGTATATATGTATGAATTATACAAGTTATTTTTTTCATGTGTAATTGATTAACTTTGGTATTTTTTCCTCTAGCAATTTTTTAAACTACATATCGTAGTTTATTTATCATGTTAATGTTTTTTATTCATCTTCCGTTGTCTGTTTTTTCAGGCTCCAAGGCCATTATCACAGACTGATTTGGAGAAAGTTCTTGCCACATCAAAGAAGACTGGGGTTGCTGCGAATGAATATAGCAGGTTAGGTTCACAGTTATCTGAATGGTCAAGGCAAAGGGAATCAGATGATTATCAGGTTCAAGCCGCAATCAACGAACTCTCTAAGCTTGTAGTTTCTCAAATCGTTAACCTTCAACCAGATTCCCAGGATACCTGAAATTTGCAGCTATGTGCTCGGATGCCACCAGGCGATCAGGTTCAAGCTTGTGATGGCAGTTTTGAAACGGTTTTAGTTTAAAATTTCCCATTGCCTTTTGGCTCCATTTTTTTCCCTATAACATTAGATGCAGCAAATTCAAGGGTGCATGGGAAGTTAGGAAGCGAAAATTTTTAGTGGTGAGTTTTTATAAATTACCCTGTTGGTTCAGCTTAATTGGGATGTTATGTGGTGGATCACTTTCTGAGACTGGTCTAGATTTTGGGATCTTTCCTATCCTTTGTAATAATAATGTCAACTTTTTTTTTTCAGATGCAAAGATTTCATTGATTTGTAAAAGCATTCCAAAGGAAATGGATGGATAAAAAACTCTGTACATAGATAAAGTCTGAACTTTTTATTAAAAGTTAAATTATATTGAAAAAATTCCTAGCCTAGAAAATCTATGAATTTAGGATTATGGATGCCTTGGTCACCAAATCAGATCATATGATATTGGAATGTTGGATCTGCCATCGTTGTCTCGGAGAATTACCGGTTGTGTTTCTATACCAATTTTCCGAAGTTAAATTTAGAATATTGAATAGTGAGTATCAGTACTTTTACTACAAATGGATCCCAGCCTTTAATTTTTATAGGAGAAAAGTTTGAGGAGGGGTTTACATTTAAATCACTTTTCTTCTATCACCTGAAAATCCCCATTTTCTTCCCTTTTGGTTAGCCTTTACAGCAAAAATGGCTAGGGTTTGACACTACTTGCCTCGAGGTTTTGATCAGCCTTATTAGGTAAACTTTTAGTGTAGGTTACTTGGAAAGAAAGGAAGGTGAGAGAACTTTTGGTCCATTCCCATGCATCCGTAATTTATATTCTATATTTTTAGAGTTCATCAATGCTTATAATTGGTGGATGTTGATTGTGTGTTTTGTTTTGTAATGACGCTTCCTAGGGGACGTGCAAAGTAGTTGACTGAAGCTCTTGGTTCAACTCTTCCTTCTGTGCGGTCACATTTGAGGCAAGAACAATTACCTTGTTATGATATGTTGAAGTGTGGATATTAGGGAGACTAAATCAGACACCTATGCTCTCATGTTATTCAGGTTTGACTCGGAACAAAAAAACGAATTAGAATCGATTGATTTTTAGCCGTGCTATTGGTTCAACTCTTCCTTTTGAGTGTTCACCCTGTGCGTTACGTGTGCGTAAAGCCTCAATACTGAGGGTTAAAACCTACCTCAGCATAGTGTTTTTGTGTGTGTGCGTAGAGTTTGATTAATTTTCACATTGAAAATTAATAGAAAAAATGTCATACATGAAACTTAAGATGATAAGATACAAGGTTCTTGGTACCATTAAAATGTCTAAAGAGAAATCACATTCAAAACCTAAAGGAAAAGGGGAGAAATCAGTCTTGGGGACAAAACTTGAGCTTCAATGGAAGCACCATCTAATCAATCCATATATCACTCTCCGGATTCCGATGGCAGTTCTTTGAACCATGTGTAAAGACCCCCTTCTAAGTGGAAAACATTTTTGTACCCATTGAGCACCAGCAAGTAGGCTGCTATGAGTGACCTGCAAGTATTGACAAAACCAAACATTTGCATCTAGCTATAAGATTTGAACTAAACAAGACAGTAAAGATTAGGATTAGAAGTCAAGTCGATTCCGCAAATACTTTTGTATTCTTCTATACATTAGTGAAAATTCTTCTCTTTTGCCTGTGATTTTTTCTAAAAAGTTTTCCACGTAAAATCTTAATATCTCTTCTATTGTGCACTTGCTATGCATGTCATTATCTTCTAACAAGATTCTAGTAAAGTGATTAAACCAATACTAGTGTAACACTATGGTTTGCACTAGCACTTCATCCTTAGTAGTTTTAAACATGGAAGATTGTAGCTTGTTTGATACTATGATAATGCTGCCTTTTTCTACTATAAGAATGCTGTAAATACCTTGACTGTTGACCTTCATGGAGATTTTGGGATGGCTTCATTGTACCCCCAGTGGTGCATGCCACTATTATCCTTGTAAACCCATAAATCTTTTCTTACTTTTGTCAACAACAAAAAACTCAGTCGAAAACCCAGAATAAAAAATACTTGTTTTTCTTAAACCTCTATTGTAAACTCGGACAATATTGTGAGAACTCAAAATCAAAATCCATAATCTATTCTTGTTTTTGTGGAAAAACTGTCAAGAAACCAAAAATCGAAACCTCTGTTGTAAACCGGAATCATTCCAAAGGAAGTGGAGCCCAAAAATGGGTAAGTTTTGACAAAAAATTTTTTTAGGGATTTTCACTTTTGAAATTTGAAGAAAGTGGAGCCCTGAATTTATTTTTATTATTATTAAAAAGAAGTGAGCCTTGTTAAAAAACCCTTCTAATCGTAAGTAAGGGTAAAAGAGTGCCCAAATAGATTAACCATTAGAAATATCGTTTTGTACTTATTCTGAAATAATCTCGGGAAAATCGAGTCAAAGAAAAGAGAATTACCATTTCTTAGAGCCCGTGTTGCAAGTGTATGAGCAACTTTATTACATTCCCTATTAACAAAGGATATAGTAAAATCTCTATTAAAATTTAAAATGTATCAAGCCCTAAAATTATTCGAAAGAAGTGAAGCTCTAAAAACCCATAATCATATGTTTTAGAATTTGACTTTTAGGAATGTCCACTTTAAAGAAATATATTTTTCAAATATTTTGTTAGACTCGATCGATCAACTGAAATATGTTAAGAGAGGGTGAATTGACTTTTTGAAAATTTAGGGAAATAGGGAGAAAGGATAGGAAATATTTGCACAATAATTTATAGTGGTTCAACTTCCTCAATGAAGTCTACATCCACTACCTTAGCTCCTCACTAAAGATTTCCAACGAATTCACTAATTTATTCTTTCTTTTTCTAGGATCAAGAGTAACATTTACAATTCCTAATCTTTTCAAGCCGTTGGAAGCTGAAAAATCTGCAATTTTGCATGAGGGTTTTGAAATCATCAAGAGGGTTTCGAAACCTCTCTTAAAAATTTGACTGTTGGAGCAGGGGGTTTGAAACATGTATGTCATTTTTTCATTCTGCCTTAGGAACCACCTAAGGGGGTTTCAGAACCAGGCCCAAAATTGCCTTATTTCACCTTTTAAAATCTTGAAATATTTTTGCAATCTTTGAACAAATTCAATTAAGTCCAAAACACATTTTGCCATTATTTGTTGTGAGCACCATTTATTTTATTTAATATACCCATACATGTTGCCATGCTCAATTCATGCCATGCCATGCCAGCTGCCAACGCCCATCCTCCACGAGCAGCCCATACGGTCATCCATGCCCTGCTCCAACACAGCTCATACAAGCAATTATTTTCATTATTTTCTATATATGTAATGGGTTATAAAAACCCCAAAATAAATGTAATATGGAGGGGGGATTCCTTTTTGGAGCAATAAAAGCAGAAGCAAGAATTCTAAGGTATCCAAATTTTATTTAGTTTACTTGTTCAATCTTTGTAATACAATAAAGGAAATAGACTCTGGTTTTCTTTGTTTTTTTATGTTAATTTTCTGTTTTAAAACAAAATAATAAAATATCGGGAGGTTACCTGACTGCCGATTGGGTTCATCGGAGTAGTAAGGTCGTCGGGGAAGTGATAGGTTAATAAGGGTTGAGTTGGGATCGTCGAACCACCACGTATGGTGGTCGATCTTAAGCTTGGCTCTCGTACGAGGGTTGATGTCGACAATTCGCGTTGTTGAGGGGCTGCCAGTGGCTGTGTCGGAATCGAATGGCCACCCATGTAGGGTGGCCGAGGTGACGTAGCTCCGGTTCGCTGTTGAGCAAGCTTCCATGGAGGTTATGAGCAAAGAGGAGATGAAGGAAAGCAGGAAGTCACGGCGGAAACAACATAAGGGGAGGGGATTGCTAAACTTTATAATTTTTGGTCTAATTAAACATTAGGTCCCTATATTCTAAGGCTTTTTGGTTATAAATGGGTAAATCACGTATAAATCCTCACCTTCAACATGTTTATACTATGGTCATTCTGTTTTATTTTTATTCTGATTATACATGTTGGTGTTGTTTTATTTTAATTTAATCACTATTAATTTCTGATTTAGCTATTATTATTTTAATATTTGCATTTTGGTCACATTTTATTTCTTATCTAATTACTAACTTTATTTCCTTGTATTTTAGTCATTATTATTTTTATATTTATGCAATTAGATATTTATTTTATGTTTATTTTATTTTATATTTTTAATGTTTTTATTATCTTTTGTTTTAATCATTGCAATTAAGTTTATTTTTAATTCTTTTGTTTCATAGTTTTTAATTCTAAATTTAGTTTTTTTAGATTAGTATTCGAATAAAATTAGAAATTAGGATGACAGTGTAGTTTAATTAGGGGACAATTCGAGTCGAGTTTTCGCATTATATGCCCGAATACTCGAATCAATTGTTCAATTAAAAATTAATTAATAATTAAAATGTTCTAAAATTTTAGTATAACAATTTAAGTAATAATTAGATTTTTATTAGCCCCTAGCTTTGGAAATTATTGATTTAGGTCCCAAACTTTTTAATCTTTTAGAACTCGGTACTTTAGATCTTGACCCTTTTAATTCTCGAACTTCGATTAGATTTTTAATATTGATATAATTAAAGAGGTTTAATAGAGCATCCATTTTAGCTTAGATTTCTAACTAGTCTTTTAATTTAGGGGATAATTCGAGTTGGCCCTCGCGTAAACGCTCGAGGGACCATCTCGGTTATTTGATTCAACAATTAATTAAAATAAAATAGGATTAATATTAGAGCTGGCGTTCTTAGACTTTAGCCCCCTATGTTCTTTAATTTTCATAATTTGACACCGCAGGTTAGAGAAAAACCTTAATTTATTTTTAGTATAATTAGAATTAAATAAAATTTTGCTTGATTGTATTGTTTTTAAAACTTAAGGCACTATTCACTTATTAAAGAGTTAATAGTATATCCTCCGCGATCGTGCTCAGGGGGTGACTACTGGTAATTCCTAAATATGTCGACATCCTTTTCGAAACTGCATCATGTTTTTCTAAAAACAAGGCAATGTTTGGTTATTAGACACAATAGCTGATCTCCCGCATTTACGCTCGGGGGCGAATACTATCGGTCTCGATAAACGAATACCCTTTTCAAACCCTGCATCCTTAATGATTTTCAAATTAAATAAAGATCAAACTCAAAATTTTCGATTTTAAATATAGGGTAACCAACTAGGTACCAATTTTTGGGCGCTTGTGGGGGTGTTAATCCTTCCCCACGCGTAACTGACTCCTGAACCTGATTTTGGATTTTTGTAGACCCTAAAACTCGATATTTAATTAAAATAAAATGTTTTATTAAAATCACCTAGTTTTTACGGTGTTCCAATCTCACCTTAAATGATTGGTGGCGACTCCTCACATTTTCGAAAATCTTTTCAAAGAGAAAACCCCCAAGTCGGTATTGTACTTTCCCCGCCCGGGCGAAAAACGATGTCGACAGCTTGGCGACTCCGCTGGGGACTTTTGTTTTTTATACAAATTGAGAGTCGAGCCACGAGTTGGTTACCTTATATTTATTATTTGGACATTACGAGTTCGATCTTGTTTAATTTATGGTTCATTATGTTTTTTCAAAAAAAAAAGGATTTTCTCTCCGATTAATGCTTACACTTCTGTGTAATATTTAGGATTGTTGCATATCATAGCTCTAAACCCGAGCTCAATCCCGGTTTACCTAAGTAGGGAGAAACATCACACCTCACGATGAGCATTGGGCTTCATTGTGTGGGTCTAACAAAGTATCTCTGGAAAGCACCTTAAGTTGCCTATCCGGATACCAGTTCTGAGGTACGCTTTTAGTGGTGTGATCCCCTAAGATGAACCCGATTCGCAAGTCTATAATGGGCCAAAATCGGGGGCAACCTTAGTAGGTTGTAAAAATAGCTTGGGAACATTTGCTAGAACTCATCCTCATATAGAAATGGTTGTCCCTTGTTCCCATATATAATGGGGTAATGGGGAGGTAAGATAGTAGGCTGCTCCCAACACCAGGTTGAGAGCAGCTTCCGTAGAAGACCTCTGAATTATGAAATGCCCTCTGTGGGACTCGATCCCACGACCTCAAGGTTAAGAACCTTGTGCTCTACCAACTGAGCTGGATAACATAGGAGAACTAGAACGCATGCGGTTAGGACCATTAATTTCCTTTGTATGTTTTATTCTTTTTTTTTACTAATCATTTTAACTAACTTGATCCTTGATTGTCTTGTTTGTACTACCATTGATTTTCTTTTGTATGCTCTTATTGCATTGTTTTCATGTATCATTGTCATATCATATCGTTTCATAAACGGTATTGATTCACAGATTATCTAGTTGTTATAAAAAGAGCTTAAGGCAGCAATGTCTTCCGATGGGACTGAGAATGTAATCAATGTTCAGACCTGGTCTGAATATGGACAGACATGATTTGGGGATAGCCTTGTTACTAATGAAGAATCAGTTTTACCGGAGAAGGTAATTATCCGAGTCAGACAGACGCATTGGGCTGAGTTATCAAGAATTTGGGCCGCTTAGGATGATAATGAGAAGACACTATTCAGAGAAATAAACGGCGATATCGTAGAGTTGCTCATAGTACCAATAGACGCAGTGGTTGTTCGATCCCTGGCCGAATGTTGGAATCCAGCCTACAGGTATTTCACTTTCGGTAAAGTAGATATGACCCCTACCTCTGAGGAGTATACGGCTTTACTGAATATCCCGAATATCAGAAGACATTCCATTTACACCAAGGTGATCCGACCTAAGGGATTTATTACCAAGATGGTCACACTGACCGGGAAGACCAAGGAATGGGTTGAAGAATATATTCGTGATGAGGGAATTTCTTGGCCTCAACTGAAGAGTTTGATTTATGAGCAGACTTCATCAAAAAGAAGAAGAGATCACTTTGCACTTGCATTATATGGCTTGGTCATTTTCCCAGGAATGAGGATC